CATACATCAATGGAAAGCTTATTTATTCAGCTTTCAGATGATGTATAAATCTCAATTTCGAAAAATTGACACTTGAGACTTGTGGTCCAGGGTCACAAATGTCTGTGTTTTGATCAACTGAATGCGTCCTTGCTGAATAAAAGTAAATCTATTGGGCAAATGCCCCCCCCACTCCATTTTTCTTATCGCTCCTACATCTCTGCACAGTCAGTCCCCTGGATCAACCTGTGGTTAAGCACTCAAGGGCACAATAGTGATAGAAGATCCTAGTAACATCATGAGAGAAAAACCAGATGGTAGATGACACGGAGTTGAGAAACACAGTCAGGCATTGTGTTCAAAGTAGGGCTGGGTATCGATTCAGATGTCCCGATTCGATTCGATTCCGATTCGCGTTCTCAAATGAAACGGTAAATGCTAATGAAGTGCGCCGCGCCATCCGCCGTTCATTCATTGCGGAAATCATGGCGCCTTATGCGTGATATCAAATGCTTCCGCAGATTTATAGTATTACTATAGCATTTCACCTGAGCATTGCAAATCACGCGTATGGCCATGATAAGCGCTGAATGAATGACAGGATTTCTGTTGTAACATCGCGCAAGGTAAATAAGGGTGACATCTAGTGGAGAAGACTAATGATAAGATTCACGTTAATCAGATCTTGTTTTAAATGTGTGCTGAAATAAATACTGGGAAAGATCGATTCGCAGCTTTTGAGAATCGATATCGAATCGACGTCATTTAAAAAAACAATTAATCGGAAAATCGATTGTTTTTGCCCAGCCCTAGTTCAAAGCTGAATGTTTTTATCTTGTCAGACAGGTAAATACAAAAGAAAGGAGGAAAACCAGTGGAGCAGGTCTTCCTGTTTTTCTACATACCTCTCTCCTAGGACACACTAATTACATGCCCACCGAGACACGCGCGCACACACACACACACACACACATAATTTGCTACATAGCTAAATTGAGGACAACATCAGGCGTCTGTTTTAAGATGGAGTAGTGCAGGGTGGGATCAGTACTGACTGACATATGCCTGTACCATTCTGACACACTTTTATCTCATCACTGCATTCATAGGAATGTGAAAACGCCTTGAGATCTCACACTTAACATTAACACATGTGGTCAGCTGACTCGTGAACCCACAGCAGCTAAACACTGCGTTAAGCACAGCTCACCTTAGGTACAAGCTATTGACAGAAAAAGGCCAGACATTCATTAGGCAGAATATATATTCATTATAACTAGACTTACTATTTAATATGAAAAGTTAACACTACTGTCAGACACTATTACCATTTCTTTAGAAAATATCAAAATATCAACTGCTTTTTAATATGAGATCTTGTCACTAAACCTCATCAATGGCACAATTAAATGCTTAAAAATACTCGTACCCTTTCACTCATTTCACAAAAAAAGGTTGAAACTGACAAATGTATTCAGATTAGAATTATAATTTTCTTGCATATTTAATGGAACTAAATATTTGAATTTGATTTTTACCATCATTTCTCAACTGGTAGTTTTGGCCCATTCATTGTGAGCAAATTGCTCCATTCTCTCAGGTTTGATGGGTGCTTCTCCCAACAGTTAGTTTTTAGATGTTCAACTGGATTCAAACCCAGACTCATATAAGGCCACTTAAGAACACTCTATAGCGTTTTATTTTCATCCATTCTTAAGTGCTTATTGAGGCCTGTTTTGGTTAATTATCCTGCTGGAGAACTCATGACCTGTGACTTGGGTACAAGATCTCTAAGACAGGGCTGAACATTCTGCTCTAAAAACGACTTGATAGATGTCTGATTTTATGGTTCCATGCACAGGTTCAAGGTATCCCGTGCCAGAGGCAGTAAAAAAGACAACGAAACATGGAGATCTATGTACTACAAAAATGTTTTCAGTTCTTTTCACAGTTTAAAGTTCCACTGCAAATGAAATTGCATGTGTTGATGACAAAAATGTATAATTGAACACTTTTTAGAAATAAAAGGTGCATTAATAGTATTAAATGTAAGAGAACCGATACTCAACTTCTGAAAACATGCCTTGATTATTTTAACTAGAATTTGACTTGTATTGACTGATCGACATGAAGATTCCTGATTTAAAAAGCACTTATTGAGATATCTATATAATATCAGTAAAACTGAATTAAGGAATTCAAGGATATAGAGGATACCTGACGTAGAGGGAGCGTTTCTCACTGGTGCGGAGGGAGCCGGAGCCAGAGCTCATGCTGCTGTTCATCATCTGCTCCCTCAAGTCGTGGATCTTGGACTCAAAACGACTGTATTCTGGAAAGAGACAAGGCACATAATCAGTCAGCAACTCCTATATTTACAGTGATATTCCGGGCTTTGCTCCAGGTTTTATGAGTGGAGGTGCTTGTAGCGCAATGCAGATCTGACGTTCTGAGCTTCCAAAAAACAGAACCGGAGGCAGGAATTCCAATTTTTATGAGAATATGAGAACTTGAAAACTCATAATGGCAGCCAGCAACTCCAAGTCTAAAGCTCAACGCAAAGTCGAAACTTCGACTTCATTGTCAGCAGAAACTGCGCCTGCAGGGAGCTCTTCTGTAAACGCCCTGTCTATCACAAAAGGGATACCAACATGTTGGATTGACAGGGCAAGGTAAAGTAACCTGACACCACCTGCCTGTAACCAGAGAATCACCCCAGCGGAGAGGTGGAAGGCTCGAAAAACTTTTTGAAAAAACAATCATAGCAAAAAAGAGAAGCTAAATGTAGAGAGAACCTCGTTTGCAGTATAAAGCTTAGTATTATAATTAGACATCAGTAGCTTCAAAATCCACTGCACTCATCTTGTACAGAATAAAGCAGAAAGTAATTCACCTCACTGGTCAGACACTCTACACGTAATACAATACATAACACAGCTGGGTCCTCTCAGTCAGTGGTAGACGAAATACACAAATCAAGTACTTGAGTAAAAGTACAGATCCATATAATAA